AGAATATCTCCCGCATTATTTGTCCGGTTGCCAGGCGTGTAGATAGGGATAACAATACTTGTCCACGCACCGTTATGCGCATGTCCTAAAATGTCGAAAAAACGTGTTCTTCAATATGTCATACAGCTACATGGTATCATAGGAAAATTGCAGACTACGTCACCTTTGTTTATTAAATAATTGCTTTCCTCATCACTGACGTATCAGTTTTTGTGTTCCGGTCATATATTGATTTATGCTACTATATTTTTTTTTGCATCACGGGCAGTATTATTATAATGACTCGGTTAGTATATAAATCGCATAAATACTTTATACTAGTAAAGCCACCAAAATAAGGTTTAGTGCTCCCTAATCTACATTCATTGTAAGAGTTTTTTCATTTTTTGAGTTATTATCGTTGAGCTCTCGATAAAATTTATGCAACCCGCGAAGAAGTGGGGGGTATGAAATTATCATTATTTTTTTATTTTGATCGAGAAGCCGGAAATGGCTGCTATCACTGTTATTCGTTAATGTTAAATCTTAAACATCTAAATGATTTTATAATTAAAATGAATCATTTTAAGAAAAGATTATAAGCAAACTTGAAAAGTTTATGTAGTAACCAAGGGTTGGTTTTAAGTTTTATTTATTACGTTAAAAATTGTGTATGGTACCGGTACACAGTTTATCGTTTTTTTCATTATTGAATCAATATTTAATAGTTTTACAATAGTAATATCGATAATAATAATCGTTTTTCTCTTATTAATTATTTCAGAGAATATTACTAAAATTAGACCAACTTATCATTATCAGTTATAATTAATAACAACTGTTATTATAATCCTATAATTGTCTATTTAGGCCTAAGCTTAATTTTTCTTACTAATTCTATTACAAGATTACATGCCTATAAGTTCTATATGTAACAGTTTAATTAAAACTACATCAAATTAATAAACAAAACTCAAACAACATCATCACAGCAATTATATTTTTATTAGGACATAGACATAGAAAAGCAGTACATAGTACATAGACAATTATTTAATATATAAAATAATTTTTTTTTAATGAATTAGTCTCATCATTATCACATTATCATCATAGATGATTTTATTTGAGTAATTTTTATCTATGATTACATGCTTTCAATTTTATAAATAAAAAAGACTACTTACCTTTTTATAAATATAATAATTGATTTAAAATTAACACAAGCATAATAAATTAGTTAAAATTCAATAAATAATAGTTAATATGGTGGGGGTTTTTTTCTCCCTTTTTTCCTGTATAAATAATGATTTTCCCAATTTTTCTGTTCACTTTTTCTGAACATACCCACAAATAAATTTATTAAAAAATTAAGTCTTAATGTTATATACAAGTTTTGTTGTTTATTGTACTGTATATTGCATTGAGAATGTCTCCTGAAAATTTGGTAGCATTATCTTTTAAAATCAAAAAGTTTTAGGTAAAATAAGGCAGAAATTTTGAAAGTGGGTCACACGTTTTTTCAGATTTTCAGTTAAATTCTAAGATAAACAGACCTGTTTACTCTTACGATTTTGGCGTACAATGTACGATTTTGAGGTGTATACATTATATATACTGTATCTTTCTTTTTTACTATTAAGATAATGTATTGAACGATTTTGTGAAGATATAGTACGATTTTAAGAGTTTGGGGGTAAACAGGTCTGGATAAAGAAGGGGGTGTTAAAAAAATCACACAAAAAATCATAACTCCACTTCTATAAAAGATAGAAAGATGAAATTGGTGTTGTTGTAAAGCTTATAGCTAGCCCTTTAAAATGATGTATCATTCATGGCAATTGGACAATATTTAAATTTTGTGTCAAAGTACCTAGACCTAGTGTAGACACTGCCAACTAAAAAATGTTTTCTCCCATTGCAAATCAATCCGCAATCCAGAATCAAAATCCTATATCAGTAAAATAACTACAGTGAATGTTGGTCTCAAGTTTTGCCATTAAATATAAAGTTTACATTAGGATACAATTTGTTGAATATTAAGGTATGTGGTTATCTATTTTATAATTAAACATCCTGTTGACTCTTTTGAGAAGGATAATATTTCGGTCCCAACTTACTTGTCTCCAAAAGACTTCTTCCACCAATCGGCAGCATCTCCTTTTGTTATTCTGAAATTCTCACCAGCAAAGGCTCCATTCGGATATATCGCTTTTAGTTCAGCTAACATGTGTGAGAAGACTAGACTTAACTTGGTTAGGTTCCTTCGATAATGTGAATTTTCATCATACATTTTATCCTTACCGTCTCTAAACAACTTAATAGTATTTTTGCATTTATTCATTAAATTTTCTATGAATGTTCTAAAGTATTCACACTCATTTAGAGTTTGTAATTTTTCGTCGTGCTTAGAGCAAATGTTTCTTAAGTGTTGATAAGTATCAGGTAAGATGTCCAAAATAAATGGAGGACTGTTTCGTAGATTCATCTTAGGGTGCTGGCATAGCTTTACAACTTTGTCCATCATTTTCCATGACTTTTCAATTGTCTTCTTGTCAACAACAGCAATTTTCGGAGGCACAAGGACACCTTGAATTTGTCTAAACATTGCCCCAATATTCTTTGCTTGTCGACTGCCTAGCGCCATCTTAATATCTTCCTGGTCTTCCCTACGCCCAGCATCCGCCGGAAGTAGAAATAAGATAGAGGAGGTGGTAACAAGAAGTGGCACCTACACTAGGGTGATCAAACGTCCCGTAAAAACGGGATTGTCCCGTTTTTTCACGATCGTAAACGGTGTCCCGAAAAAGTCTCTCGGGACACCTAAATGTCCCATTTCTAAAACTAAACACATTTTGAAATCACTAAATCTTCCTAATTTATAATATAACTTCAAGTAATATTTTGGCTAGCTGTGCAGCCAGTGCGAGTAGTGATGTGGACTCGCGTGATGGCTGCATTTAATTTGTTGTGTTGTATTATGTTGTAAAATATGTATAAATAAATGAGTATTCGCTGAAAAATTGTTTTCGTTTATTATAAGCCTCAGACTTTAAATTAAATTACAAAAGTGAAGATTACTTTAAAAATATCTCTAGGTCTCAAAATAGTTAAAATGAGCATATTTCAATAAACAGTTTCCGGTGGAGGCCCCCGGACCCCTCTTTTGCTGGAGGGTATACCCCCCCAACCCTCTTTATGTTTGTCCCGTTTTTTCCAGTTCATGATTTGGTCACCCTAACCTACATTATACAATACAGACATCATAGCGTTATGGGAAAAAAAAGGGGTGGGGGGGTCTAAAGGCACGGTTTATCACCAATGTAGGGAAATGGGAGGCTCCTGGAAAGTCGAGGCCCGTATTACTTATGCATTTTTTTTTTCAATTTAAATGTATTGAAGTGGCTGTTATTCTTAATTTATTTAACATCAAAGTGGAGTCTTTAATAACTATAATAGAGGGCAGAGTATAAGGAGACATAATTTTTAAAAACGATTTTTGTGGGTGTGCTTGAGAGCAGTGTTTCTTTCAGAAATTTTCTCTCGGAGGGGCACTTCAGATTTTCGGGGGG